AGTGGTTGAGTAGTTGGTTGCTAATTGAAAGGTTGGTGACTGGAATCCACCGGCCAATCTGTGGTACAAAGATGTGGCAGTTTGCTTCTATAAAGATTACAATAATAATTTTTTTAAAGATTGGAAACTCTATGGAATATTTCTATTCTGCCCTATAGAGTCACTATGAGTCAGGACCAGACTTAACAGCAACAAGCTTTGTACCCCATACTACTGGACCAATAACAGCTACCACATCAAGGAGTTTTTGCTCAAACAAAAACTCACTGCCTTGAGTTGGTACCGACTCATAACGAGTTTCCAAGACTGTAACTGTTTATGGGAGTAGAAATCCCCGTTCCATTATGGGTCCTCTATGAAAACGAGAAAACAGTAAAACTTTATGCTGAATTATCAAGGAACTCCTCATAAAGTGATTTAAATTAGAATGCTACTGTGCCGATATTCAATAATACTAGTAACAACTTGCTGAATTTATTTATATCTTTTTTATTCTGTTATCTGAATCATCTGGATTGCAAATCCTGATGCCACCATTTATGCCCCACCATGAGTACCCTTAAGTGGCTGAAACTGACTATATACAATATATGGATGGGTTGAGATGGTTTACTATTTCATGCCAAACATACTGAAAACTGTAAGGTATAAAACACAAGGTACATACGTTGAATGCATTCATCAATGGTTCTTTCACTCAGCCGCAAATGTGAAATTAAGAATAACTTATCTTCATATTATTTCAATTATAGCTTTTTGAACTTTTAGATCTTTCTCTCTGTTTACGCTTAGAATACAGTATTGAAAACACAAATTTCATGTAAGTTAGTCAAGGTGAGTTAGTTTCCATTAAAATATTTTGAAATTTTAAAGTCATGGACAACAGCCCCGAAACATTAATATAAATGGTCGATTTGTTAAAATAAATAAAACAATTGATCAATAAAATGCACTAAAATTCTTCTTTTGTTATTGCATTTCAGTGACAGAAGCAGTCATACATGATTAAATGCAGTAACCCACTATTTCCAGACAACAATGAGTGGCTATTATTTTTTTATCCAACTTTTATCCAATCATATCCAAAATATATTCTAAAATTACTCCTGTAAAAATTTGATAAAAAGAGGTGATCTTTTTTTAAAAATTCTGAATGTGTTCACTCCCTGTGATGAACCATTCCCACCCAAAGACAATTGGGAGGAGAAAACATGATGGTTGTAAATAGTGAATGAAATTTTTACTATGTGGCCCCAGCTAACCAAAACAGCCAACAATGCTGATCTAATAGGAACATGGTTTCCCAGGTTGATGCTCAGTATAAAATCACATCTAGAAACCCAGGCATATTTACGAAGAAGAACAATATAAATAAAGAGAGATTAAGAGGTAAAATTAAGCCAACCCTACCTGTGCTTAGAGTGGGTGTCTCTGATATCTGTGTTCCCCGATCTAGTGTCTTCAAGATGCTCAGGGTCTCCAAAGATAACAATGGAGAATTGTTTACACTATTTCAAGACCTAAGGGAATGGTACCTAGGTTCTTTGGTACTGTGGGTAAATCATTATGTACTGACTTTGTGTCGTGCTACAAAATTATGAACTATGCATAATTTTGAATAATTATGACTAATTATTCAAATTTACATGATTATGAATAATTATGGACTAATGCATAATGTGTGAATGG